CTTTTACATGGATAAAAATAACAAAACAAGACTAACTAGACTGAAAAGATGAAGGTTGGGACTACATTTCCTAAAAGTTTCAGATTTTTATTTTTTCCTCAACATAATGATTTCTGAGGGCAAAATTTCAATATTTTTTTTAATAAAGAAAATGATAGTCTAGAAACTTTAAATAATAGTTACGTTTTCTATTGTATAAGTACTTGATACCTGAAAAAAAATAACTCTCTAGATTTAGTAGAATAGGCACAGGAGCCAGACAAAAATCACAAAAATTGGCAAATTATCATGAATCTTTATAAAGACTATAGTGGTTTACCATTCTTTTATTAGATTAACTTATTGGATTATAATAATTGTCACAGAAAAAAGTTCTGGACGGTCCAGAACTTTTTTCTGTGACAATTATTATAATCCAATAAGTTAATCTCATAAAAGAATGGTAAACCACTATAGTCTTTATAAAGATTCATGATAATTTGCCAATTTTTGTGATTTTTGTCTGGCTTTCTTACTCTCTTATAGTGGACCACTATAAGAGAGTAAGAAATTGACACGATTTCAGATTTCCAAAGGGTGCCGATTAAAAGTAAAGAATCCAAAAATTAAAACGGCAACGGATTTTCATATTTGATACCTAAAAGATCATCCTCAATTTTTTTTATCAAAATAAAAAATCAAGCAGCGCACCCCATTTGGTGTTTTTATTTGGAATTCTGGAATTTGGAATTCTGGACGGTCCAGAACTTTTTTCTGTGACAATTATTATAATCCAATAAGTTAATCTCATAAAAGAATGGTAAACCACTATAGTCTTTATAAAGATTCATGATAATTTGCCAATTTTTGTGATTTTTGTCTGGCTTTCTTACTCTCTTATAGTGGACCACTATAAGAGAGTAAGAAATTGACACGATTTCAGATTTCCAAAGGGTGCCGATTAAAAGTAAAGAATCCAAAAATTAAAACGGCAACGGATTTTCATATTTGATACCTAAAAGATCATCCTCAATTTTTTTTATCAAAATAAAAAATCAAGCAGCGCACCCCATTTGGTGTTTTTATTTGGAATGACTCTATTTGTAACAGAATTTATTTTTAGGTTTTTGTATAATTTTTTGTTTTTTTTTTAATAAAATATTTGACTGTTTTCTATCCTAAAATTATCACCGCCCTAAAATATACTACTTAAATTGAAATGGTCAAAATTGTACTATTTGAATTAGTACCAGCATTGTTTACTAATAAAATAGTCGTTTTCACTAGTATGTATAGAAATGTAAGTAAAAAATACAAGTGTATAAATATAAACACATTATATATTTTTGCTATTGCAACTAAAATTGAAAAACTACAACAGCCAATAGAAAACAACTGAAATAATATTTTTAATAAAAAATAAAAAACAGTAAAAAAGGCTGGCTACAAACAACAAGTAAGTTTAGTATGAAATCACTCCAGGTCCGAATCTGAATCTTTATTTTCATTTGTAGAGCGCTGCAGCGGCGCCATACATTTATACTTACTGATGAATAGAATTTTAGAAAACAAAATATTGATATATATCAGGATAAATATCGTCGCATAAATATCATGATATTTTTCCAGATATATATCAATATTTTGTTTTCTAAAATTCTATTCATCAGTAAGTATAAATGTATGGCGCCGCTGCAGCGCTCTACAAATGAAAATAAAGATTCAGATTCGGACCTGGAGTCACTGATATACAGGGTGTCCTGAAATTAGTGCACCATACTTTAACAGCAGATTCTCCATGCTAAAATAAGAAAAAAAGTCCCTATAAACTTAGGTCAAGAAATGCCTCTTAAGGGAGCTACAGCCCCCAAAAGGAAAGCCCCTGAAGATGGTTTTTATTTAATATCTCCAAAACCGTTAAAGATAGAAAAGTGAAATTTGGGGAATTAATTAAACTTTTTATGACCAATAAGATGTAACAATAACAATTTAAAAAATTTCATGAGGTTTGGGTCAGATTGATAGGAAGTGGGGTTAAACTTTTTTGTACGAATCTTTTAGCAGAATTTGATGTCAGATTATGAAATTTTTGAGTTTTGCACATAAAAAAGGTCATCTTGTTGAACTTTGATAATATACACCATTTTCGCTTAAAATCGATTTGAATATTATTTTACGTGGCATAAAAATTCACAATTAAATCTCGCGTGGTCCTTGGAATAAGGCTGCCATGTTTAGGAAAAAATTAAATAATTTAAGACAGGTGACAGTTTCATGTAGTAAGTGACAGGGTGTTTCTATTTTTTTTTATAAATATTAGATAAAAACCATATTCAGGGGCTCCCTTTTCGGGGGCTGTAGCTCCCTTAGGAGGCATTTCTCGACCTATATTTATAGGGACTTTTTTTCTTATTTTTGCAATCTGCTGTTAAGTATGGTGGACTAATTTCGGAACACCCTGTATATCCCGCCAGCCTTGTTTTTGACTAATTTATTTTAAATGAGTACACTAAATCATTAAAATTAGTCTAGAAAATGGTTAATATATCTAAATTTGCTAATACCATTGATTAAGGTTCACTCAACGCTAATACTATATCTACTTCTAAAATTCAACTTAACCAGTTTTTAGACACAAATTAATATTTATTTCGCCATATTTAACTCAACGATATGTTAATAAATAAAAAATGTTTGACTTGTATACCGTGTATGTTAATAAAAGGGGGTGTATTTTGTATGTCGGTATATTTATTTTAAAATGAGTAGCCTCATTTTAAAATAAATATACCGACATACAAAATACAGCCCCTTTTATTGATATGTTAATAGTTAACGTGCCTCGTTTACAACAAATATTTGTTTTTTTCAGTGTACATACATAATTCTCAAATGTCTACCTCAAAAATCATTAATATAAATATTTCAATACTTTTAATACTGAAAACCATGTTTTATTTCAAATTTACACCTTGTGCATTTATTGTAACACTCTTTTTATTTTTTTAATGAAATACAAAAATATATATTTTTAATTTTTGTAATAAAATATTTTTCTTATTTCTAATTTTCTTCATACGCTTTTTGGTCACTAAATCTTCTAAAACCTGAAATTAATTTCAATAAATATAAAATATTCGTTGTAATAAATAAATTGTAATGGCTTAGCCGGTTTATCAGTATCTGGTTCTAGTTCCAGTTGGTTATCTACTAGATAAACCGTGCTCTAAATTCGAATCCGATCTCAAAATTGCTCCATCAATTCAGGGTTTTGAGGAATTCTAAATTAAGTTACACGACAAGATCAAGATCCTTTTTGCATTTTTGCAATATCTTTTCTCCTTTAGATTTTGATTTTGAATTCGAACTTTGCACGTCAGAAACCTTAAAAAATATAGTCTTTTTTATATTTAAAAATTTTAGAAATAAAATTAAGCAATAAGTATACCTAAGATGCTTTGATTTCCTTTTTTCCAAACGACATAACTCGATTAATAAACAACAAATTAATGAAAAAAAATCTTTTAATTTTTTTTTTGTGTGGAATAACCTGATTAGATATTAAACTTTTATAATTATAATTATTATTATAACTATAGTTTGCCAAGCTATGACTTGCCATTTATTTGTTCAATACTAGATAGGTAAACTGTTTACCGTAAACATATTTGAATACTAAATAATTTTACGACTCACTTGAATCCGCAAATTCCACACATAGTGGTAAAAACAATGAACAAAATTAACTGTATTATCAACATAATGCCCATTAATATAGAAGCAATTATTAAAAACCTTTTCTTTTTCTGATTTACGGTATAAAGCAAATATGATTCTTGATCTGTCGCGACGTACATTTTCAAACTGTCAAATCTCAATCATTCTACCAAACTTACTTTTTAAAATCTTAACCCTACTTTTAAATGTCAACAATTACCGTCTTCTATCCGTACAATAATAATTATCATGCATATGAACCAAACGATGGCGAGCAAAAGGTGAAATCCGATCAAAAGTAGCTTTATTATGGCCATTTTTTCCTCGTAACTAAATCGTCTTTCTTCGCATGGTATCGAAACGCCCAAAACTTGTATGGAACCTGATTCGCTTTCCGGAAATATGTCGTTTTCCGAAGACGGCACATTTGGTCCGAACGAAACGTCTCCTTTTGTAATGTTTGTCCTTGTAGTATTGTTTCCCCTAGAATTATCACCTCTTTGATAATTAGACATGTTGGTTTTGATACTTTTGACAGTTTAAGTTTATTAAGATTAGATACCCGGTATATATTTTTGCCATTTGTGTTAAACATTTAGAACAATACAGTGTGTTCTTATATAATGTTTCTTAGACAAGGGAAGGGAACTTTCAATTTTAAAGAATGTAGGTTCGAATTCAGAAAGGCATATCCAGAATTCAATAATAGGAAAACTTACCTTTTTACCTGTAAATATGTTTTGAATAGGAAATAAAAAGACATTTTATATAAGTAACACATAATTTATTTATTTTTTTATTTACCTCGTATACAATACAATTTGGCTATTTTTAAACAATCTATCACTACTGATATTATGTATAATACATTTATTATTACACTTATTGTTAGGTAAATAGAGTACATAGATAATTTTATTCTACAATTATACACATATTATATTTACAAGTTAATTTTTACCAATAAAAGTAAATCATATTATATGAAAATCATCACTAAATATTTGAGACATTAAAGCATTTTTAGTAAGTGTATTTACAATATATTTACAATAATTATCGACATGGCCTCGACCAAATATATACAGGGTGGTTCACAAAATTTAATAAGCAACGTTCGTTTTAGTGAAATTTTAACTATTAAAATAAATTTGTAATTTTTTTAAGTAAAGCTAAATAAATAGATTTCTTATTTATTAAAGCTAATAAAATTAGAAATCATACTACGCATTACAATTATCTCCTTAAGAAAGTATTAAAAACGTATTTCATGATTTTGATCTTCTAAAGTAGTTTTAAAATACCCTGTATATAATGTTTAAATCCGTGAAGCGTACACAACAAACAGATCGGATAATAATACAATACACTCCTTTTTAAACTTTAATTTTGAATAGACATCCTTTCTCTGATAAAAGGTGCAAGCAGTAGGTAATATCATTGACACAATATATTAAAAAACCTCCCGACCAATCGTAAGCTACGAACAATCGCATCAGAATTTAATTATGAAACATGTATGAATCAAATTTCACCCCCTCCCCTCTCTATCTATTCACAATTGAAGTGCAGGGGTCGAAACCCCTTGGCTTCTAAATCAGTTATTAGCTTGTTCATTGTTTGACTGTGTACGAGAAATTATTTTGTAAACACTACATTAAAACGCGATTTTGACCGAGGAACCATGTTAATTATTCGAGAAACAGTATTTCATCTCCAAAAATCTTAGTAATAATAGTCACCTTGGTACATCATTCGCTATTCAGAATAGCTCGTTTTATCCGACCCGGTGTTGGACCCTGGCGACGATGCCGTGGCTTTTTCGTTGCTGTAGAGGTCATGGACGGGGGTCACCATGGATAGGTAATCCGGGGGTGGTCTAATGACGGTGGGGAGGTACCCGGTACCTGCATAGGGGGCGGATAAAAACCTTCTGGAGGGCGAGTATCTGTGGAAATTCGGTGGTGGGCCTAGAGGCGAGAAGGCTGATGGGGTTTGGACTTCTTCGTGAGACCCACTCACCATCATTTCCATTGCTTGAAGAACATCGCCTTTACATCTGTAAAGAAATAGTTTGTTTGACAAATATTTGCTTAACATACTTTTTTAATTGGTAGGTATTCAGCAAACATTAAACACTTAAAACTATTATACAATATATTATTACCTTTGTAAGATTCCTTCGATATCTGATCTTCTTCTGCCAGGAAAAACCCTTAATAAAACATCAATTGGACTCCTCTGCATTGGATAATGAGGGAACTGTGGAAACTGGCCAAATTGCTGGTACGGGATAAAATTTGCATTATTTCCCACCACTGTTTCTGGACTTGTCGACTTTTTTATCGACAAATTTTCAGGGACTTCGCTTTCGGTGTCATCTTCCACGTCCAGATCTGGATCTGGACTAGTCACTGGTTCGGGGGAAGGGGTAGGTTGCGACGGTGTCGGTTGGTTTGGTTGAGGGGAATCGCGCGATCTTTTTATGTCGACTTCTTGATCGGAGTCTGATTCCTCCAGGGAACAGTTGTCCTTTACCCTGGGCCTCTTAAGAGCTGTAACAAAAAGTGCCCAATTAGAAGAGTGCTAATATCTTTTATTAATAAAATTAACATACAAAAAATCTAAGTGTATTTATAAGTACTAAAAACTAAAATGAATGTACTATGTACTAATGTTATTGTTATAACTTTTTTAAAACAATTTTTCTATGATACATTTGACTAAGTCGGCATTTCTTTAAGACGAATTTTCTTCGAATATGTCACGTGAACTTATATTAATTACTTTTATATAATTACTCCCTTTAATTTAAACTTCCTTTAACTCGATCAGTTTTAAAATGTCAGATGAGTGTATTAATTTAAAACATTTTATTTTATGAAAAAAGTAAGAAAAGCATAAAAAAAGATCATCATTAATCTAGGTAGTGAGTTTTAACAATACCGTATTTATTAAGATACTTAATATACTATTCAACGTTTTCTTAATTTATAAGTGGAACAAAATTAGAGCACAAATGCGGTTAGGGTGTGAGAGTTCGTATAAAAGACTCGTCATTTGGCGCGCTTAAATGATACTCAAGGAATTTGCAATAATGGAAGAATGTGCGGGTGATATGTGTTATAAATATGAGTATCCATTTATTATGTTGTTTGAGCTTAGAGCAATGAAGTAAAATGGTCTGTTTTATAGGTCGTATCTGACCCCATAATGGAGATATTCGGACCGTTAGAATATAGACAACAATTTTATATTTTGGCCCTAAGAGTTAAGTATGTTTTTCAAGCGTAAAGCAATTTTCATATTATAACACTCATAATTCTATAGAATTTATATATAAAGAAAGACTTCATATTTGTACTTGTGGTGCAAAAGACAAATTATTATACAACGCCGTACAATAATGAAAATATATTGAAATTACTTTCAAAATATCGTAAACTAGATAATTTTAATATAAGTACGGAATTATTAAATGCTTAAAAAAATTGTATATACAACATGTACTATTTCTATATGTTCATAATCCTAATTCTAATTATCTCCAGATAAGATAAGTACATGTATACATTCAACCAGTGGCGGCTGGTGATTTTGGGTATACCAATATCTCAGTTATTAGACATGGGACCCACACCAAATTTATTATAGTTTATAATGACATTAAATAGACAAGTTCGGCGCAAACTGAATTTAAATTGAAGTTAGAGAAAAAAAGTTAGCTTTTCGTGTCGCCTCACCCGCCTCCTGGCCTCCCTGAGATAATTTAAATTAAAGTGTGCAATTTATAATCTACTATAATTTATCGACAAATTTAAAATTTTATTTAAAAAATCCAAATATTACAGATTTTCTACGATTTTATTATTTATTTTATTAAAATAAAAAAAATATTTAAAATGGTTTGGATTTTTTAAATAAAATGTTAAATTTGTCGATAAATTATGGTAGATTATAAATTGCACCTTTAATGTAAATTATCTCAAATAGGGGGGCCAGGGGGCGGGTGAGGCGACATGAAATACTAACTTTTTTTCGCAAACTTTAATTTAAATTCTTTTTTATTTAATGTCACTATAAACTATTATAAATTTGGTGTGGGTCCCATGTCTAATAACTGAGATATTGGTATACCCAAAATACACCAGCCGCCACTGCATTCAGCATTAAAACAATTTTATGAAAAAAGTCTCCAGGGGGAACCAAACACGTGTACTTATGTATGTATTTTAAATATAATTTTATATAAATTTTTCGTTTCCTTTATAAAGTACTAAACGAGGAATATTATCGAGAAATTCAGAAATATTTCACACTGTTTCATAAGCGATGCGCGCTCCACAAGAGCTAAGACCAAACTACGTAAAATAGGCTAAAACTAATATTTTTTTAAAGCAAGAGTTCGTGTTAAGTTGTCCAATGGAGCGGTGAAGAGCGGTCTTTAGTCGATATCTAAGCTGAAAAAATCCCGCTAGATAAACATGGTTGAGTTAAGGAGACAGTGGTAAGTAATAGCCGGGTGCCGAGGCAAATATTTGATCTGAGACCGACATGAACCGTGAACAAACACATCCACATTAGTAGAAGGAAAATTTGCCTTTGCTATCTACGGTTACATACATACGAGCCTCTTTAAGAAAAATCTTACATTTGTGTCTTCTTCTGAAATTTTAATATTTACCGATCATGATTAAATATGAGTACCTAGTTGTGTTATTACTTACTAAAAATGAAATAACACTTGAGAGTTTTAAGAATTTTTGTTTCGTAAGTTGTTTACTTAATACAACCTTGCAAAAGTAACTTAAAATTCCTGGGACGTTGAATCAAAAATGACCATAATTTTGCTAATCGCTTTTTTAGATATGCAAACTTTATATATTTTCATAGGAAGGTAATAGCTATTTTGAAAATTTTTGATTTTTGTCTACAAAAACATGTTTTTGTTTGTTAAAAACATGGCTATAGTATTATTCCTGTTGTTTATTTTTTAACAGCGTATCTAAAAAATACTATTAACTTTGCATAGGTTGTACACTCAGTTTAGTACATACATAAGTTTGGCAAAACTCGAAAACCTATTCGACCATTTATGCGAAACAAACGATCGTCCGTTGGCACTCGAGCTTCGGGCACTTATTAAAAACCGTTTTACGAAACGGGTTTTCAACACAAAATAACTGAATGAAACTGAATAAAACTGAAATCGGACTTTTTAAATCCCCGTCCTGGCTGTACTAACTATAGAAAGAGCTGAAATGCATTATGGTCAGTTCAAGTGGCCACTCGCAAATTGAAAACAAAATGTTAAGCGCCGAGAATTTTGTATAAATTAAGTTGGGGGAGGATTGAATTTAGCTTGCCAAACAATTACAAGTGGTCAGGTTTATTTTCCCTTTTTCACAAAAAGTTTTAAATACAATGAAATTAATTTCAATTATAAAAACACAAAATTTGTTGAGTATATTTAAAAGTTTCTTAATTTGAATTGTGTTATTGCAACGATATTTTTGACTAATTTGCATAATAACAACAATGTTTAGATAAAATCATTTAAAAAAATTATTATATTTTGTAAAAATGCATTTTTGAAATATATAACTGATTTTATAAACTCTCTAAAAAGGAATTAGTCAAAAATGACTAATTTAATAGTTATTAGTGGCTGCTTTTTCACTTGTACCATGGTTAACCATGGAATACCATGGCATCCCAAAATTTAACAGCCAATTCCTATTATATGTCGTCAAAAGTTAAAAAAGTTAAACAGTTTTTGAGATATAGTCAATTTTCCATTTAATATGGAATTGACTATATCCTAAAAACTGCTCCACGTTCATAATTTTTTACGGTATTTTCGGATTCAGGGGACAATTTTACATATGAATTGGATGCTAAATTTTGGGATACCATGGCAGCCACTAATAACTATTAAATTAATCATTTTTGACTAAATCATTTTTAGAGAGAATAGAATCGAGTTTAATATGCTTTATGTATGTAAAGTTATAATAAACAGGAAAAAATTCCCTAGCACAACTGTTACGTAACTATAGCATGGAATTCCCTAAAGTCCGGCCTACCATTCGCAGAATGTATCTTTTACGGCTTAATTCTTACGTCAACCAATCAAAGTACTTTAATTTTAATCATTTTGAATGCTTGACGTAAACCGTAAAAGAAATATTCTGTAGACTGGGCCTAACAGTGCCATCGTCAATTTTAGACACACACATACACTGAAAAAAAATATTCTTGATTCAAAACAATCTTTGTCTTATATATAACGAAGAGAATATATTCTTTAAAATAGTAAAGTATTTTCTTAATTCACGTTGATTTACTTCAAGAATATTTTCTTAATGTAAGAACATTAAGAAAAGATTCTTGAAGTAAATCAACGTGAATTAAGAAAATACTTTACTATTTTAAAGAATATATTCTCTTCGTTATATATGAGACAAAGATTGTTTTGAATCAAGAATATTTTTTTTCAGTGTAACGTTTACTAAGATTGTCAGTTGTACGAAATTTGGTTGTAGATAAAGCAAATTTTACAATAAAATTGAAATTATAAAAGTGATGTTAAAATATTTACGTTAAAAGATTTTTTTATTTTGTTATAAAAGTAATATTTTTTACAAAAACAATTTTTTTGGATTTCAAACTTATTTCGCAATAAAACTTTGATTACCTACAACATGTTTAGATAAATCATTTAAAAAAAAATTATATTTTGGTCGATATCTTCTTACAAAAATGCTTGTTTAAACTATAAAACTGGTTTTATGTAAAGAAATGCGTTTTTTCAATTAAATGGAAATTACAAAAGAAATATTATATTATTCACAAAAACAATTTTGATTACCTAATATGGTGTTTGAATCATACAAAAATCGCCGAAAATCATGAAAACAATGAAAATCTGAAAAAATACTTGTTAATTATTTTAAAACCCTGTAAAATAATGTACAGTAATGGAAATATGTTTTGCACTCTTTTCAATTTTTTAACATGACCAAATTGAAAAGGGTGTTTCGCTATATTCCTTACTGTACCTTAATTAATATATAAACATATACAGCCCGTTCAGAATAAAACCGAATATATCTATGTATATATATATGGGGCGTGGCCTCGCCTTCCTCCAACGCGCGACACAGTAGCTAAGCAAATAGCCTGCATCGCTAATAAGATTTTTTGCATTATTATCATTTAATTTTTTAAGTCGTCTTAGCTGCTCGACCTTTCGTCATGTCGTTTATCACACAAGCTACTGTGACGCGCCTTGGAGGGAGGCGAGGCCAAGCCCCATATATATATATATATATATATATATATATATATATATAGATATATTCGGTTTTATTCTGAACGGGCTTTATGTATAAAACATCTTTTAAACCTTAAATGGTTTCAATCGCGCAAAACGCACGAATTACAAAATTTTGTTAACTGCAGTTTTTATAAAAAAAGTAGATAATTAATTATATAATATTTTAGTATTAAAATTGTCAAAAATATTCTTTTGTTATAATAAGGTTTTACATTA